AATGTACTCCACCCAAATTAAAATCGTGTTGGATTGTAAACATTCGAATGCCTGAGATACTACCTCCACAAACCAATCATCCACAGCAGCTGCATATATACGAAATGTAGAAATTAAAATATCAGGTTTTTAAGTTAGTTTCTGATCAATAATAGTAGAGTGACAGATTCGCAGTCGAAAGTAGGTAGATTCGTTGTCATTCATCTTCCAGTGTTCTTCCGGAGTAAATAAACGATCGTCAATACGTGCGGGTAAGCGAATAGGGATGACATGACGATACAGTTATCACATAACTATATATATTTTCCCCAACATAATACAAGCGCTACTGATGGAATTGTGAAACTAGTGACAACCAGTCTTCATCAATCTTTTCTCAGCATTCAGTGCTTATTAGTGCTACGCAGCAAAATCCTTTTTTCTGTTTTCAGCACCCGCATATACACAGAGTACAACAGCACGAGAATTATTATATAATAACTATGGAAAGCGAGAAACGACATTTTAAGTAGGACGATTCATAAGCAACGACTTAACTGCGGTATCACTGACTTTTTTACACAGGGCAGTTCTTGTTTTTGGACTGATGAAGATTCCTCGTGTAGCGCAACTCCAACAGCAGCAGCTTGCTAAATCGGCCTCTGTCGGCAATATACACTAAGGAATGCAAAATCAACGTTCTGAATAAATGCAAAAAATGTATCGATGATACACTGGTACTTGTGCAACTACTTCAGTAGATGATCTCGCAGAGTTTTTGGGTGCAGTCGCCTCTGTTCAGGACTGATCAGGGAAAAGAGCTTACTTATTAATAATAGTGGAAACAAAGGATGTTAATTCTGGCACAACAACAATCCGCGTAACAGATTAACCAACTGCCACGACCCCTCGATTACCTATCTTACCGCTACTACAAGCGAAAGTTTACAGTTCAGTGCACATAGAGAAAAAGTAGCCATTAAAGAACCACAGGGCAGCTATATTTTCAAAACGGTCAGCCTCATTACAAACTCCAAAAGGAAACACGAAACTGGTTTTAAAAACCTTCATATTTCGTCTAATTTCACATATGCTTTAATGACGTCATTATACTGCAGAGCAGGTACTGTCTCATATGAATATCGTAAACCTCGTGTAGATCAAATTGTACAATCTACTGCAAAACTTGGTAACTCAATTCTAACTGATCCTCTCTATTCCCTGCATCAGGCACTTTCTAAATGCACTTCAAGGTCTCAACACGTTTGCATCCATGTATTCCGGCAGATAGCTAGTACTAGGCAAAACAATGAACCGGGAAAGCAAAATGGGCCCGAATCGATCCTCTCATGTTAACCCATATATTTAGATATTCATCTGCACTAACTGTTTGTCCATTAATCTGATCCGTTTCCTCTTCACCATGTCTTATTCTTATCTCATTACTGTGTATTTTGTTTGTTACTGTGACTTACTTATAAATTATTACACCAGTGATGGATGAAATGTCAGTCGGTGCCAGTTTTACGTGCCGTTCCTACTAATTTAAGCGGTGCATTCTTTTGACTGATTATATCAAACTTTATGACGTGAAGACAGTGGCTACCTACATGGAAATACAGCAGCACTTGGCACTCCAGCCACATAAACAAGTTTTACATTATTTACTTTTTCCCTCAAGCATGGCGTCTGTTATTAGAAAAACTGGCGTTGAAGCATTGTATATTCCCCTTGGTCGTTTCGAAGCAAAACAAATAATCCTTGTGTTCGGTCTAAAGCCGTAAGACCGAACAATTGCGACTGCCTGTGAAATGGTTTAACACAACATCCCCTCATTGTCAAAGCGTC